TCGTGCAGTTGAAATATCTGGTCTGTATGATGCTGAAGCAGAGTCCAGCAATGCAGCCAACTGTAGGAAAAGAGCTAATGAAACATTAAATGATGTACATGAAACAAGAATTAACTGTAAGAAAAGAAAACAAAAAAATTTTAAAGATGGTCGAACCCGACTTACATCTGTTCCTCTAGCACCTGCAGTTTTGAAAGATGTACCAAACTGTCCATATTGTTTTGCAAAGAAATTTGAATATGAAACGTATAACTTGTGTTGTTTGGATGGAGATGTGTGTTTGACAGCTAATGATGCTCCTCTTATATTTCAAGAACTTTTCACATCTTCATCATTGGAGGCAAACTTATTCAGAACTTGCATTCGAACAATCAATAATCATTTTGCTTTCACTTCCATGGGAGTGCATTATGATAAAGCTCTAAGTAAACGTGATAATGGAATTTATACATTCAGAGTGCAAGGTCAGATATACCATTTTATAGATGACTTCTTCGAATCTAAAAATCTTCAGCTATATTTTCATGACACGGACACTGAAGTTTCAAAGAGGTTAGAGACATGCCCTCGATTGACAGAATCATTAATTGAAAAGATTCTTACAGTTCTGCAACATAATCCATATGTAAAATTCTTAAGAAGACTTAAAGATGTACCTAATTTAAATGAATGTCAAATTATATTGAAAACATTGCCTAATGTTGATCAAAGAGTTTTTAATCAACCCGAAGTTTCACAAGTAGCTGCATTGTGGGTTGAGGATGAAGATAATGGTCAAACAAATGAGCGAAATATAATTGTGCATTCACATGGAGGTCATTCTTACAATATAAGTTATTATTATGGTTGTTATGACCCTTTGCAATATCCTCTGCTTTTTCCATTGGGAGAAGTTGGATGGCACCAAGGTGTGAAGAAAAAAAGTAGTTTGCATAATAACAATGCACAGGGTTCAGTCATAGATGTTACTCCTCATTTGGCAATGGACTTAAATGAAATATTAAACACTGAGTTTACTGGTTAGTAACACCTGTCTAATATCTTCAGTTCCCTTTATTCCTACTCTATTGTCATTAGTCATAAGTTTTCCAACATTTTAATAATTTGTATTTTTGTTCTGTGATCTCCAGCTAAATCTATTCCGCCGGATGATTTGAACTTTGTGTCGGTTAGGGCGTACTATTCATACAAATTGCAAATTAGAGAA